TACGGGTCCCACGATTCCCGTTTTGACTCCAAAATTGGCCCGTCTCCGTTTGTTGTGATTTTGGTGTCTAAATGACCGTACTAACGTTGTGACCCTATATTTGATAGAGTGAAAGCATTCAAAGGTCATTCGGGAAGGAAAAGCTCTAGTAAAGTGATTTGGAGAAAGCGCGATCGGCCTTAAGGTAGGCTACGGCTTCCTTTCTTTTAGATTGAGCTTAATTGTGTAAAAAGATGTCGATTGGAGTGAATTGGGGGTGGGTACCAGTTTACTACCTTACTTTGATTAGATACCTCATGTTAGGATCGATTGGTCACATTTCGGGTATAGTATCATGTTAACCGGTTTAGTAGAGTTGCATGCTTATGTGCTAAATGCTATTGTATGCTATGTATTGCATGCCTTGTTCATCCTTAACCGTAAGCATAATGTCCTTAGTCTAGGTTAGGCTAGCATTGCCTTAGACTTATGACCGTGTGGGCTGGATAGCCTTGACTTGTTGCCGACATCGTTCGGATGACTTAGCTCCTTGTAGACTGGAATAGCAGACTTGAGTTTGATAGTTTGAGCTTTAGATTAGGCGTTATCGCTACTGGCTGCACTTCTGTATCTTCTCCCTTTCATTATGCGGTTCCGACGCATTCTCGAAGGTTTGGTGCATCACTCGAGGCATGGAATTGAGATAGTATAGGCTTGGAGCCTTTTCTGTGATGTCTTAGAGTGGACGGCGTTCCACGATGGTTGTTGTTGGATTGAATCCTATTGGAGATACCATCACCCCCGGGGTCGTTCTTTCTAGCTGGGCTGGGAACGTATCGTTGGCTGGGTAGACTCGGTGATATCAGCGATCGCCCCCGGGCCTCTCTTTCTAGCTGGGCTGAGAGTATGCTGCTGGCTGGGTGTCCCCGGGTCGCTCATTCTAGCTGGGCTGGGAGCTGACTGCATGGTAGGACGACTCGCGATATCTACCTCACTCACGGGTCCCTCTTTCTAGCTGGGCTGGGAGTGGACTGTTTGGTTGGGTGCCCCCTAGAGTCACTCTTTCTAGCTGTGCTGGGAGTGCACTGCTGGCTGGGTGGAGTCTGATGGATTATCTTAGTTACTTTGGGCTGGGAGCTCGATTTTCTTCTTTCTCAGTAGACTTAGCTTTTCTGTGTACCTGTCGGGCTTATGGGGGTTCGTTCAGGTTTTATTTGAGCTTGTGCACGAGTGTACCTTCTGGGCATATGGTGGTCCAGTTAGGTTTAGTTTAGTGTACTTAGTTTGTTTCTGGTATGCTCGTGTGCTTTCTTTTCTTATCTGTTTTGACCTCTCTGTGTCTAGATTCTATCATTTCTTATTGTTTTTACCCTTTTTGCTCAGTCAGCCTATGATGCCTACTGAGTACCTGTTGTGTTGGTACTCATGCTACGCTCTGCATCTATTTCGTGATGCATGTCCCAGTACCAATTACCAGCGGTGATTAGTTCCATCCTTCTTTTGCAGCTATGATTAGGAGACGAGGGCGAGCACTTGGCGTTTTAGGGTTTGTTCTGTCTCCTTCTTTTGTTTTAGCTAGTCTTGTTGCCTCTGAGACACACTTTGTTGTGGTCCACTTTTGGGACTTGTACTCTTTATTAGATAGTTTTGTACTAGTGACTTATAGGTTCTGCGAGGGATTTCTGTATATATTTATTTTGGGTTGCTTTCGCCTTGTTATTCTTGTTTAGATTATTGTTTTCGCTAGTTTCTGCCCTTTCGCTCATTGCTTGATGTTCTGGGTTACGGGTTGGCTTACCTACTGGTAGGGTATAGTAGGTGCCATCATGACTCGAGAAATCGGGTCGTGACAATATATTAATATTATTATTACTTATATTTTTAAAATATTATGTATCGTACCATTAGTTAAGAGTTTTCTACGTATCTAACACTTAAATGCATGTATTTTTGTCACCATATACACAAAAATAGGAGAAAGGTGAGCAAGATTGAGGAGGGAGGCAAGCAAGATTCACATGTATCACAGATACATGTGAATCACACTAGATACATATATCTGTGTGTATCTGGGATACTAGATACATGGGAGAGTGGCGAGCAAAATGGGAGAAAAGCGAGCAAGATTTGTTATGTATCCCAGATATATGTGAATGCACTTGGATACAATATATTTAGAACAAACTACACCTAATTTGACCATATGTGTTCGAGATACATGTATTTAGATGTATCTGGAGGCACCAAAATCTAATAAGATACATAATACTGCAAACTAGTGTATATAAGTAACTAAATCCTAAACTAGTAGGATTTGTATATGTTCCTTTTATTGTTTTTCAAAATTTAGTTTGCATTAGAAAGTGGCTAAACGTTTAATATTTTGGCCAAGTGCCTCGTATGTGCAAGTACCAAATGTTTCTGACAATTTAGGTTTAGCAAAAAGTTCAGTATTTTAAAAGGCACAAGCGTGAGACTACGAGGCGTTTTGCTTGATGCAAAGCAAAGTGTAAATGTAAATGTAATTAAAAGGATGAAATCTTTAATGCGATCAATTTAAACTCTATGAATCTTTAATTTTAACATTTTATAAACTAATATAATAAAAAGGATGAAATTATACAAATCAAGTAAATGTAAATGTACATAGAACTACTTCATCTTAAAACATTAATCAAAATCAACAATCAATTAAAAAATATCCAAAACTCTCTCATAAAAATCTCGCCCATGCCTAACCATACGTCCAAACTAGTGGGACTTACACTACTTTCGCCCCCACAGATCTTCCTTGAGCTAATGCCGGAGCCAAGAATTCTAGCAAAGTATGCCATATTTATCTCAAGGGGATTCAATATTACTATATATAATAAGTGGGAATATCTATTACTTAGCACATGACAAGTGTTAGATGATATGTGCTTATTACTATATATATATATATAATAAGTGGGAATATCTAGATAGTTTTGTACATTCTTCTTTTATGGTTGTACCTTTAAATTACTATATATAATAAGTGGGAATATCTACTACTTTATTGGACAATTTAACACCATTAATTACCTACTATTTTATTAGCTGAAAAGTTTGACCTCATTTGGGCCCATTTATTATTTATATGTTTTCAATTTTCAATATATGTTGTCTATCTTATTCTTTTTTTCAACCTTTTATTTTAAACTTCTTGAAATTTAATTACCTATTTATTACTCTCTCTCTATACACTTTTAATTGTTATGATTTCCTTTTTAGAGTCAAACTATAAGAATTTTAACTAATATTTTACAATGTGTTTTTTCATCATATTCATATGCAAAAAATTACAATTTATAGTACTTTTGCATAGATTTTGCATATTTAAATTTTTTGTTTAAAATATCAAATTAATACAATCTAATTTAACTTTGAAAATTATTATATTACTACTATTAATAAGAGTGAATGTGAGGAGCTTCCCGTTTATGGAAATTGACAAAAAAATCCTCAGATGTTACTTTTGTAATTTCACATGAAAAATGTAATTCAATTGGTTAGTTAAAGGAGTAGTGCAACTGCATTTTATTTTTTGTATCTATTGGACTAATTTGTCCCCTTAAAACTACAAATAATTCGCACAACTTTCTGAAAACATGGGCCCCACTTATTACTACTTAGTTGTATTGCTTTGGTGACTGATATCAATTATTCTCTCTCCAATAATATTTCTCCAGTATTGACTTTATACATTTTTTAAGAAATTATAAATAAAAGAGTAATATTACTATATCATTCTTTCAATATAATAAATATAATGTATTAAAAAATATAATTGAAAAATGACTATAATTAATGATAAGGGGTAAACTATCAATTAATTTCATAAAGTGGACAAGTATTGTAGGACATTCCAAAATAGTATAATAGACAATAATTATTGGACGGATGGAGTAGGATTAAGTCTTTCTTTCAGTGTTTTTCTCACATTAATTAATTTCTCTCAGCATTCAATTAGTGAATCTTTAGTAGAATTAATTAGAATACTTTTTACTTAATAATACGCACAATAAGCAATAAGAGGAAGCTTTCGTTGGTCTGTTCTTTTAAGGGTATGTTGCTAAATCATCAACACTGAAAGGTAATTCTACTGATAATTGTGAAAAAAGCATATTAATGGATTAAAAATCAAAAAGAGGTAATTAAACCCTAAAATATTATAAAGACATCTATAAAATTTGGTTGAAGCTCAAAATCTATTAGTGTCATATAAATTAGGATAGAAGAAATGACATATATTATTTGAAATAACATGAAACGTACTACAAATCACACAATAATTAGCAACTTCAAAATTTAAAGGACATACAAAAAATTTGATTAACTCTCAAAATTCTACTAATGTCACATAATTTGGAATAGAAAAAGTAACATATACGTGAAATGTACTATAACTCATAATAATTAAATAACTTCAAAATCTAAAAGACATATACAAAATTTTCTTGACTTTCGAAATTATATCAATGACATATAAATTGGGACAAAGAGAATCTAAAAAATTACATATATAGTATTATTAACCACAATAATCAACAACTTAAAATTTAAAGAACATACAAAAAAATTGTTTGACCGTTAAAATTTTATTAATGTCACATAAATTAAAATAAAAAATAAAAATATATGTTGGGACCATGCTAGCACGGGCTACTGTAACTAGTATATATATATATATATATATATAAAAGATACGTAGCTCCGATTCTACCTTGAACCAATACGACAACTTAACAGAAATGAGTTAAATTTTCTATTTACAAAGTCAGTATGCTCAACAATCAACAACATACCCATTATAATCCAACAACAACCGTCTGTATGCTCATGTTCTACAATTCTTTGCTATAAACATTCACTGCAGATGACTTTTAAAAAACAAAACAACTTTACAAAATGAGAAAAGTGCATTCATCTTCAACAATTCTACAAGTTAAAAGATTCTAGATAACACTTTCTCAGTTCACAACCAATTAAATGCATACATTTCTATATTTCAAATCATCCATCTAAATTGGTACACATTTCACACTTACAAAGTTTGTGATGCCGCAATTCATGTATTTATAAGTTGAGAATTAAGGCAATGCAGGTGGAAAAATGCCTGATAGATAATGAGTATTCATAGAGCTTAGTTTCCCATAAAATTAGGACCTTTATATTGAGACTCTGGTGGTATTTGCCGTTCTCTCTCTTTGAGATAGTTAAGAAGTGTTGGCTGCTCCTGTCTAAAGTCCATTCCAGTGCCACATACATACGGGGATGCTCTTTGGTAACCAAGAAAATGTTTATCGATTATTTGTTCTTCTGCACCATAGGCAAGAGGAGGACTTGGATGCAACTGCGGGCTCTCCAAGTACACCATGGGACTAGAAGCCAAGTGATTTCCCCACTGATCTAAGACATCAAACCTGGTAAGATTGGTCGCGTTCAGATTTCCATAGGTTGCTGGTGCGTTTGAGTGAACAGGCCATACCAGATTGCTGACTCGCTCGAAGTTTTGACTGTTTCTGTAGTGATACAGCCATTCAGATGAACTCATTCCAAGTAATGGTGGGTACCCCTCAACAAAGCGTGGAGCACCTGCAACAAAATCAAGTGGTCCACGAACTGTAGATGGACTTGAGTATCCCCCCACTGGTGATGCACCAAGAATACCATCCCCTTCCTTGGTCCCAAATGCACTCTTGTTAGGGAAAACTGATGAGTTTCCCTTAAACCAAGATGCATCTTCCGGTAACAGTGGAGCTGAGGGGACTGGAGTGACATACGGAGGAGTATCATGAATAGCTGCAGAAACTGGCATGGAACGAACGTTGTGATCTCTAGTTTCATTCAAGGAGAGACCAGATAAAGATTCAGAAGCTAGTTCATCAATTGGGCTTAACTGCTGCCTATTTAATTCCCTTGGTCCCCTCTCATTTCTTGGACTTTCCTTCTCAAGGACCCAAGCATTCAGAGATGGAGGTCCAGCAGGGAAAGCTGCAGATTGCTTGAGTGGCTTGTTGTACCTCAAGTTTGTACTTTCTGGACGGAAACTGAAAATATCATTCTGTGGATTGCTTTGCTCAGAAATCAACGATGTGGCACGGCGCAAGGATTCATCAGAAGCCGCAGTTCCATTGATAACATTGATGGAGAATTGATCACATGAAGTGCCTGATGTATATATTGGTTCTGAGTTATGTCTAGTGATGGGCTTGAAAAGAATGACTTCTTCCTCATCTGTGGTAATGGATTGGCCGCTGAGACAAGGATGATCTTGACTCTCTCCGTTTTCCATTGCCATTCCACAATTATTTTGATAGGTCTCTTTTAGCGGAAGAGTCGAAACAGATTCAGCTACGCCTGGCTTTCCCCTATCTGCTAATTCTGAGTCCATGATGTGGAATCTTTTGTCTGTTTTATCATAAGAGATCCATTTTCTTGAGTGACTGGATCTGTTAGCCAGTTTAGATGCTGCACGAAAGATACGCTGTGAACGACACACACTCTTACTACTGAAATTATCAATGCATTCCAAATGGCTCGTGAAGTCCAAAGACTTGTGAGCATGGGCCATGGGATGAAACCCCTTCAGTTCATGGTCTTCCCAAAGAGCAGTACTTTCTAGAGCAAGTTCATTCTCACAAGGATCAAGCCGGTTCAGAAGATCAGCTAAAGCACCAAAAAAGTAAGATATAGCACTCTGGACCTTTTCATCTCTTGCGTCTACTTCTGCTCTATCAAGTATGTTAACTAACCACTCTACAAACACACAGACGGTGGGTAAAAGGGGGCAAGTTTGTGTGCTATTTCTTGTTGCAGCTTTCTCAACAAGGCGACCAGCACAAATAAAAGTAGCAGCTACTGCCAGCTCTGTCAATGCAGATTGCTGCTTGTTCTTTGGATCCAAGCCATCCTCACTCTCAGTCAGGCTATGGAAGATAAAGATGAAAACAGAGACAAGTTGAAGAGCACGATAAGGGCCTCTTCTCGATAGATCCATTAACTGGTAAGACTCTAGAGAAGCCTTTAATTCATCATCATCCATTACCACCAGGCCTTCCAATTGTCGCACAGTAGATGCAAGAGTAGATTGAAAGTCTTCCAAGCTGCATTACAGAAACAGCTGAAGTCTTAAGAGTTTCTAACATAAATGATTGACATCATTTAAAACTATGTGAAGGAAGCCACTAGCTTATCAAGATCTAGAAGCACTAACTTATATCCAGAACAAAGTTAAAGTTAGTAGTAAAGGAAGAAAAAAAATATTCAAAGGCAAATTTTGGGTGAAGAAGGGTTTAATGTGAGAAATCAAAAGGACAAGCCTAGATGAGAGAATTAATTCAAAAGGCATGCATTTAACCAGCCTAGAGTCAATCAATCAAACAAATTAGTTTCAACTGCAGTGTTTCACTAGAAACAAGGGAGTTGAGATGCTGCATTACTTTTCCTGATATCATTGATTCAGATATAAAGAAAGCAGTTACTTAACGAGGGGAGCAGCTTCATCAGCTTGTGTTACATAAAGCATGATATCCATAGAGGTAAATACAAAACCAATATTTTCACCTTTTGTTTGGTATGGAAGTGTTTCAGAATACCACTCAAAATAGCAAAAAGAAACTAAAAAAAAGATTTTTAAAAGGAGAGAAAAATAAAAAGTTCACAAATTGCACATGAAGCTACAAAGGACAAGAGAATTGATCCCAGCTACTCGAAAGGAGTACCAGGGGTCAGGGGAGACCTATTTAATCTGCACCTGGTATCAGCAAACCACAAATAGCTGAGGTTACCAGTGAAAATAATCTTCCATCACACAAATTCAACTAGAAAACAGCACATCAGTGTAATCCTTATATATGCTTTCAATTTAACAAAAGCAAGCAAATTTGTCGATGCACTAATGCTAACCTTGGTTTCCAGTTTTTAATGCCTACAGTGCAATGTTTATACTTGGAAATTACTGTTGAAAACATACACATTTTTAAGTTGGTTAAATCAAGCAGAGCTAGTTAACTTCCCCCATAAAGAACTAAAGCAACTACAGGGCGAAAAGGGATTAAGTGAAAAACAATAGATGATACATGAGAACTATCTCAAATGACTATTTGAATAACTCGAACGTGTAAATGATGTGTACCTGGAGTACACGAGAAAGAAACTCATCAATCTGACAAACAGAAGCCATATATCAGCTTTTCCAGAGGTAACAGTTTCAGCGGCTTCTGGCATATTCTTGTTTAAGGAACCACTGGTTGCGCGATTTATAGCATCCATGGAACACCACACTGAAGGTTTTAGCAAATCAAGGCAAGCTCCACTAGAATATGAATGCAAAATAGATGACCTGTTCTGCAGATTCGCAAGAAATAATGAAAACTTGTTTTAGTCCCGTAGACTCAGAAGGGATCACAGCAGATGGGGAAAAAATTCATAAGGGAAATAATACACTTCAAGTTTCTTTTGCTCAAGAAAAGAAGAATGAAGACTAAGAGAAAATCTTTTGACATCACCTCTTCAAAGAGTAGCATAAGGTTGTTCCAGGCATCAGGGAATGGTTCCTTAACAGCTAAACTTCTGACGCAATGGTATAAGGCAAGGAAAGGGTCACCAGTGTATGTTGCCAATAGTGCTAGCTGCAGATGAAATAACTTAATAAGAGCCTCAAAGCGGATTTTGTCTCAACTTTGATGCAGGAAACAAGAACCGACAATCTTTGTATCTTTAAAGGTTGTAAAAGATGAAAGAGAAAACATATAGAAATACACAATGTGTCCACAATCCAACAAATTTAACCATAGAATCAACCTGATTATGAGGATTTCCACTGTCTGGCCATATCCTAGATGCCTCAAAGTAGTATGTGGCTGCTAAAGACCACTTAAATGCATCCGGTTTCTTGCAAAGTTCACCATATCTGGCCAGGTCTCCCAGACAAATTAGAAAACGGTGGCATGCATATTGGCATTGAGGCAGCTTCATGGGTACAAGAGGAAGTGACATGCTACCATTCTTACAGAGTAACAGTTCCCTGGGGAGCCCACAACTTTGTCTGAGTTTTTTAGTTAACTCCTGATAGAACTCAGTAGCTTCAGACAGAAATGACTTGAGCCCTTCCATATGATTGTCAATCTCTCGGGTAGCACTTGAATCACCTTCGTGTGTTTCAATTTTCTTTTTCTCAGCATTAGCCTGCCGAATCCTTTTACGGAACTCATCAATGTGTTTATAGTGAAGTTTCCACAGAGAGAATTCAACTTCCTGAAGCCCCACTACTTCATAATTATTTACAATAATATTCTCATAGCTGGCACGGGCTTTGTGGTACAATTCTTGGACATCTTTGTGCAACAGGCCTTTAGAGTAGATTGATGTTAACAGTTGCTTTTCTGTATTGGCAATCTGCCATATGGATGAGAAAAGTAAGCAAATTTTCCATCACAAGAAGCACAAAAGGAAAGTAAAATATTCTAAACAGATTCAATAAGTCACCTCAAGAAAAGTATTCAATTTTTCCTTCTGATCATTAAATGCTGCAGCTGAATCAGCATCCATGACTGCTAAATATAAACCTCAGTACCAATCAATATCTCATTGATGACACCAACAAAAGTGTACCTACATAAGCGATCAAGTACCTCTTTAGCAAATGCACCAGCAACTGAAAGAAAGTAAAGGGAATTTTGTACGAACTATGACAAGAAAATCTATTAACTTCCAATGTTCTAGCTTTGATCTTAGGATGCTAACCTCTCCTTTAGGCTTTAACTAGTTCCACAGCAACATCACATCCATTTTTTAACTTGTGGAATTTTGAAAAGTTTATTCATAGGTCAGTCAACTCAACTATTATTCAACACCCATAAATATCAAGGACATTTAAAAGAAAGCAAAAATGGGTCAATATCCAACTTGATAGCCTTGAATTAATGAATACTAGATTATCACAAAGGGAATTTCTTGCACAACCTCAGTTCATCAAACCAAAAACATATCTTTTCTAATGACTTTTTTACGACAAAAAATACATCTTACATATCCATTTAACTTAGCAATAAAAATGATCCCCAAAAGCCAGTAGCCATAACTCCACAAATTCAATACAAAAAAAAAAAAAAAAAAAAACTATTCAAGATGTTTTCCCTTGTGCCCTATAAAATTCCAAAAAGGACCAGTTTGAAGCACAAAGTCAACGAAAACCTAAAACTGATAAAGACTTCCAGATGACTTTCTGACTCCATATACCTTAAGCAACACAAAGGAATAGAAAACTGATAATCAACTTCCCACAAAGAAATTAACAGTGATCATTTGATCACCACCATAAATGAATACAACTAAGCTAGAAAATGATCCATTCAATTAACAGTTACATCCATACCAGTTCTCTACAGAATTATCTTCTTAAAGCATAAATACAATCTCTAGACACACAAAAAAAAAACAACTTGATTTTAAAATCTTGAAAGAAGAAAAAAGGAAATTGGGAATAGAGTGATGAACAGAAAGTACCTTTAGTAACTTGAAATTAAACCTAAAAAAGAAAAATCTAGACAAATAGTCAAGCAAACAAGAATCAAACAAAGGCATAAATAAAGCTACTACTTTTGATACAAAAAGTCAAAAACATGAAAGAAAAAACTACAATACCTCAAGAATTCAAGAAACTTGGAATTCGGAGCAGAAGATAGAAGATGCAGCAAATCGATTAAGTGGGTAAGAACAAAGAAGTACTTTTGATGAGCAGAGAGAGAGAGAGAGAGAGAGGGAGATGGGAGAAAGGGAGGGAACAGTAGGACAAGGGGAAGAAAGAAGTGAAACAACAGAATTTTTGGCCAACTGTTGTTGTATTAGTTGTGTGAAATAGACAAAACAAAAAGGTGGCTGTGTATTAATGAGTAGAGTGAAATGAATAAAATGCCCTTTGTTCTCTCATACTATATGTTTCTGTTTTTCCTTTTTCATGACGATCTAATTTGGATAATCTTTTACCAAGATTGTAACTTAAAGATTACGACTAGTTCAGTTGATTGATTACTTAATATTTTACATTATTAGTGAGGATTCGTATTCATATCTTGTAATTCACCAACTCTCAATTGAAAATAAAAATAAAGAAAATTTTATAATTTTCAATAAACTTTATTAATTATCATATTACACTCTTAAATACTATATATTTGAACCAATTTATATACACCTCAATATATTACCTCCCATCAGCTTCATTTACCATACATATATTTCTCTATTCAAATGGAGTTATTATAAATCAGAGTCATCATATATCATAAGGATGAATAGAAACTCTTTTTTCCTAATCACATATTTTATGTTCGAGATTTGGGCATAAATAAAATCAATATTGATTCTAACATTGAAGTAAATTTAAATTAATCAGAGTTTGAATAGGAATATCAAATAGCAAATGAGAAGAAAAAGGTGGAGTCATCTTCATTATTCATTTTCTATTTGTTTTTAGTTTTCTGACCAAGTAACTCCATAATATACCTTATAATCCAAGCTAAAATCCATTAAACTAAGCTAGATTCAGTACTTTTATTATATAACATCCCAGTTTATGAATTATTCAATTGGTTCCCTCAATATATTAATATTAGTTAAGTTGCATAGACAAGTCATGAAGCTACTTGTCCTTTTTCTAATCATTAATTACTAGAATAAGTTTTCTAAAATATAAACTGTATGTTTAAGCTGGTGGGTTGGTAGGATGTTGTCTTAACTTTTTTATAGAGCTAAAATAATCTTAATTATTTATCATGGATAAAGAAGCTTGCTTGCTTTATAGCCATTTTACTTATCAATATGACATCTTTGGTTAACTAGAAAACCTTCATGGCTCTAGATATTTACATTAAAATTACTAACATAGATTTCTTGGCAAAAAGCCAATGTAATTTTGACAGCAGAAGCAACCAACTCATGAGAATATATAATTTGAAGAAATACATATAGTCAAAGATAAAATGGCCTACTAATGGTCTAGATAGTTGGTGTTAGGTTCATGTCTTGGTCCACATTTGGATATATTATATAAATATATACAACATTAATTTTTGTACAGGATAAAGTGTGGGCTTGCCAGGTGGAGTCATCATATTAGACCCCTCTACCCCACTTAGACAATTTGATTCAATCATGCTCCTATAAATATATTTGGCCTAAAAGAGAAAAACAGTTAACTAATTACCTTTACCATGTGCATTGTTCTATTAATAGTCTTAAGGATAATACTTTGTATGTGAGTAGTTATGATATTCTATCAACACGAGTATTGAGTTTGTGGTGTAGTAATGAGAATAATTCACTTTTAATTAGAGATTTTGGATTCGATTTTTGAGTATGGATAAATCCCTATCGAAAGCATCAACCCTAAAATAAATCTAATTATGTATAGTTTGGATTTAATTGAATTTTAATGCAAACATTGAATATATCAACCCTAATTTTTTTTTATGATATTGTAATATATTATTATGGTGGGTTGAGATGTGACAACTTGATGAGGAGTTGAGGACCTTTATGTTCAAGAACATTAAAGAAAGAATAGAAAAAGGACAAAGTTTTGAGCATGCCACATGTCAAAGATACTTGACACATCTTTCATTTGATAAACATGATTTCCCAAAGTCCCCTTGTCTAACCAAAAGGTTAGAACTCTAGAAGTTGGTGCATTATCAAACAACATAATTTTGGTTCTTTTTTGTCACCATTATAAATATCTATTATTTTAATTTATACCTGAATTCTTTCTAATCTAATTACCAATTATCCTTAGAAAATCTCAAGAAAGACTAAAGGAATTGCATGTCAACTCTTTTTTACTACTCAAGATCGATATAATATCAAAACGGCTGCATGCACTCCGTTTTTTTTAAAAATGATTTAATTTTACATGTAGTTCATAATTAAAATCGTTGATGTCTATCCTTTAGGATGGTCCAATGATTGAGGCTTTAGACTTTTATGTTGGAAGTCTCAAGTTTCAAAACCTCTTACCAACAAAAGAAAGAATTTGCCTTCTGGATTGAACTACCAGTGCGGGTTACCTCTCCTGAGAAGTAGTAGTAGTATTGCTATTTACTAGAAGCTAATTAGAACTTAGAACTATTGAATTCTTATGCATGGGTTTCCAGATCATGGGCCTGTTGACAAGTCCAAATTCATTCCAGGGCTTGAGTTTACATCTCATATTTTTTCCAAGCCCAATTTGACAAAAAAAAAAAAAGAAATTATGATACTTGATCAAATTGTGCATCTCAAATATTGTTTTAGTCGCTGGACTGCCACTAGAGCAGTCAAAATGGATTTGGCCCGTTAGGCCGGCCCAACCCAACCCTTGAATTAAATGAGGTTGGGCTCAATTTTTTCAGCCCATTTAGGAATGAGGTTTTTTAGCCCAGCCTTATTTGGCCCGCTGGCCTCGTAGGGCCAACCCGCAAGCTTCAGAGGCCTACCCGCGGGCTGTGAATTTTTAAAATATTTATTATATATATTTTAAGTAGTGTTTTACTTGTTAAGATTTTGTCAATAAATATTTTTAAAGTATCAATATAAAATCAAGACTACATTTTTTACATATCATTTACACTTTAGGGTCATTAGCCCATTGAATTTTCTTATTAGCCCAAGTCCATTACTCCATTATAACTATGAATCTTTGACCTCTTTCACTTTTGTTTTTATGCCTAATTTTCCACTTCTCCTTTATTGTCTTGTTTATGAAAATAGTGATCATGTAATATTTTTTTGCTCGGATGAATCTTATGAATGTTGTATCTTGGCTATTATGTATTTGTTTTGTAAATATTCACTGAAGTATGTGTAATTTATGAATGAATTTATGTATGTACTGATGTCGTGTTCAACAGACATCAATGTTCGTATCCTTTCTAAGAGGAAAATGCTGTCCGTTTTTTGGTTGAAGGGTCAACCTGTCCCAATCCGTGGCCCGCTTAGGGCTGAGTTGGGCTGCTATTTTATAGGCCATTTAATTAAAAGGGTCAGCTTGTCCCAACCCATTTAACTCTCTAGCCCATTAGGGTTTGGTTGGGCCAGCCCATTTTGACAGCTCTAACTGCCACCTAGGAAAATTCGTTGGAGTGACCGATGAAAATTCGTAGCCATAGACAAACTTGTTTTTAGTTTTATGCCTATTTTAGAAAAAATGTTCATCTTTACTCGTAAAAAAAATTATAGATCAATTTCTTCTATTCATTTTGTAAGTGGCGATAAAAGATCATTTCCTCAAATTTGATTACCTTATTAACATGAAGAGGCAAAGCCTTAGAGGACCACATAGAATAGAAATATTAAACTCACTCCTCTTTATTTTTCAGGAAGATAAATGAAATGAAAAGGTGAGTGAGTTTGACTTGATAAATTGATGGATTTCCATATACATTTTTTGGGTCTAAACTCTAATATGCCAAATAAAGGCCCAAAGTGAAGTACGTACAGCATGGACCGTGATATTATCTCCAGGTTTGGATTGAACTTATCTGCTGTCCATACATATATATGAATAATTTTAGATAATTCCTTCATACCTAGCACATCCTATCAAAAATTTTGATTCCCCATATGAAACAACAACAATAACATACATAGTGAAATCCCACTCAATAGGATCTGGGGATGATAGCTTATATACACAGACCTTACCACTACCTCGTGGAGGTAAAGATATTGTTTCCAATAGAACATCGGCTTTCAATTTGTATTTTTGATCTGAATTCCACAATAATGCACTGCACACCCATATACTACACTTCTTTCTTCTTCTTTTTTTCAAGAGCTATTCTTTTTATAGTATATTTTTTTTCAACAACTATTCTCATCTGTCTGTTTCTACTTTTTTGTTTTTGTTTTCTGACAACTATTTACATCTAGTGCAATCTAAGTTGACTCTCCAGAAGTGTGATTGTCACTTGTTAATGTCCACTAGATTCATGTGATTCACGGTACAGGTTACATA